TGGCAAGAATAATCCCAGCTCTGTCTACTCTATGATGGACTCTACATTAGCTGTTACCACACAGGAAGAGATCTGGGAATCATTGTGGACAGTTTGCTAAAAACATTGGCTCAATGCCCAGCAGCTGTCAAATAGGCAAACAAAATGTTAGGATTATTAACAAGGGAATTGTAAACAAAATGAAAGTATCACTATGTCCCTTTATAAATCCATGGTATCCAGTTCAGAATACCTTGAATTCAGTGCCCAGTTCTGGTACCCTTGTCTCCAGAAAGATATAGAAGAACTAGAGAAGGTACCGAGAAAGGCAACAAGGATGATTAGCAGTATGGAGGGGCTTCCATAAGAAGAGAGACTGAAGAAGGTAGCTTTATTCAGCTTATAAAAGAGAGGCGGGGGGGAGGCGGGACGGACTTGATAAGGGTTTACAAAATACTAAATGGCAAAGAGATAGTAGATGGGGATTTATTATTTAGAATCTTTCACAATACAAGAACTAGGGTTCACAGAATGAAACTAGTAGTTATTAAGTTAAAACCTTACAAAAGGAAGTTCTTTTTCACATAGCAGTTAATCATAGTGTGGAACTCATTGCCACCAAATGTTCTGTAAACTGCCAGTTTAGCTATATTCATAAAGAGATTGGACAAAATCTTGAAGGAAAGGGACATTAGTTGATGTTGAGCTTGGGAGTTAGAGATACAGCTTCTAAATTAGAACTTCCTAGACCTTAAGTGCTGGAGGCTGCAAGTGAGAGAGGCACAGTGGGGAAAAAATGCTTTGGTCATACCCAGTTAAGTCTCCCTTTCAGCATCCACTCTCTGCCACTGTGTGACATAGGATACTGGGCAAGGTAGACCTATGATCTGACCCAGTAAATAGCAATTCTTATATTCTGGTATGTTCTTACGTTCAAAACAATTCTTAAAAAAAGGATAGCCGCTATCCCCTTCACTCTGGTCTCTTTTCAGAGCAGCAATGCTCTGGGACTCAGGAACCCAGGCTTTGCATTTTTCACTGTTTTATTATATGACCTTGCAAAACTCCTGTCACTTTTCTGTACTTCTGTTTCCCTTTGTATAAAATAAGGATAATGATACCAACCTGTTTTGTAAATTGTTTAGAAATTTACTGATGAAAAACGAGATCTAGGTAGCATAAGTATTATTATTGATCCTTTTCATCTCCTTTTTTCTATTAGTATTTCTAACTCTAGATGGGTGTTCTGATAAAGTGCTTTTAATCTGTGCGATCTTATCCCTTATGTAAGTCTTACTGAACTGAATCAAGATACAACAGAACTTTTCAGAACAGAACTGCATTGTAACAGACAAAGCGGCAGTTAGCTTGATGCTAACCCTTCTTCAGCTTTCTAGAGAGGATGCCAAAAACATCCAGGTTTCCCAGTTCAAATGCAGATTAAATTTTCAAGTTTTTTCTACTACCATTAGAGGCGTAATAGCATGCCAGTAAGCCACTGTACTGTACAAAACCCCACTGAAGTCCATTACAAACACATTCTGATTCATAGGTTTTGGATCAAGTCCTTAGTGTAACTTGTATTATTAATGGACTCCAGATGGAAGGCATTTCCTGGGAAATAATGTCTAGATGGGAGAAACAGAAGACTTAAAACAGGGGTGCTTAACCATCACCACCACCACCCCCAACCCCCGGCCTTTGGGCCAGATTCAGACCCTGATATGTCATTTGGCCCACCAGTCCAAAAAATTGGTGGCAGGGGAGTAGTGGTCAGGGTAAATGACCTAAACAAAGCATTCAGAGTTACCATAAGTGTTTCATCAGTTAATTTTGAAACAAATAATCATTCAGTCTTGGAGCTGAAAATATTGAGAACAAGATGAAAGTAAAAGCATCAGAATTCAATGTACATTTTTACACAGTAATGTTATTTATGGCATTTATTTCTGCAGCAGAAATGAAGGAAACAGCATAAGCTTTTGAAGAAGCAAAGGCTGTAAAGCCAACTACAAAGAAAGAGTTGTATAAATAGAGATTCATTTAGTTCTGCTTAAATTTCTAAATGACTTGTATAATGGAAGGTAAGAATGATAATATCTATCCTGCCAAATCCTATCATTCCATACTCATTAGAAAGTTAAAACCTCTTTACTTCTGTTGTTAGTTATCTGACACACAAAACAATGCCACTACTACTTAATGCCCTACTATTCTGGGTGTACCCCACACACACACACACACACACACACACACGCAATCCTGGCATCAAGTTTTCCTCAGTGAATAATAATAAACAAATATTCTCTTGGGGATAGAAGGAAAATAAACACGTTTGTCACATTGTTTAATGCGCTAATGAAAAATGCAGATACTACACTGCAAGAATCTAGGTAGGACAGAACAGAAAGATCTAAAATGTAACTCTAGGAGGACTTGCCATGTTTCCTTACGAGTTGTAAACTTAATAAAAATGCCTAAGGTAAAAACAGTGCAAACCTATGTAGTGAGGCAACTGAAAATGTTTAATAAATGAACAAAGAAAAGATTAAGTGATGAACCTTGTAAAATAAATGTACAGATGAAAAATTAGTAGGTAAGCTATCAATAGGAAATGAAATAGGAGTGCAGGAAGAAAGAAGCCAAAGGAGTAAAGTGATTAATGATTACAGAGAGCTACTGTAAAAAAAAAAAAGCCTCTTGAATTGGCATGTGGACTAGTCTTTAAAAATACTGATCTGTCATAATTTACATATGTATGCCATAATTAGCTCAGCAATGGAATGTATGAAATACATTCGGTAGCAGGCAGGAACTTAATTATTGTGTCTAATGTCTATTACAAGATTTGCTTTTTCTAATTCATTTGATAATTTGTATTTACATATTTTTAATAATTTTCTCTCCTTAGGGATCTGTGATGAGATGAGGTGAAAGTGAGGCAGGGGACTGTGGATGAGTTGTATTTACCATTTGCAAATTTGATTATAAAAAGATAGATGGATACTGAAATTGGTATAATTGTATCATGTAATTCTACTCTTGTTCAGTAAGTAAATTAGTTTTATTAATGCAGATGCATGCACCTTAAACAGAATTAAATAAAAAGGAGAAAAATTACTGTTCCTATGTTATGTGGTGACTTTATTAGATATAACTCAGCTTGATAGAAACCTGTGATTGTAACTGAAATAGAGGCTGACTATTTGATGAAGAAAACACTCAGGTTCTCTATAGTAATAATAATGATATAGATTTTCATTTAGTTTGAAATATATCTAGATTTATTTAGCATTTGAATTTTGTTTTCAAAATCACACAGGCAATTCCAAATGAATGGGCTGCTCTCAAACACTGTTAATTTAGACACTACTGCCCAATGGTTACTGCAAATTTATTTAGTCCTTGTATAAACAAAAATGATTGAGAGCTGGCCAGCAAAAACAGAAGACCAAACACGGGACAGAATGTAATTACCCTTTTGAACAAAACCGTGCGTGTGGTGTGTTGTATTATGTGTACACACACAGAGTTCTGCCCCAAAATAAAACTAAATTTGTATTTATGGTGAGTTGTATTTAAATGTGTGCATGTACAGGTATGTATATACTAGTGAATTGCCCATCAAGAAGGATGGGGGTGGGGCAGGCGGAGACAGAGCGCTGCCACCCACCACCTTGCACTGCCACTGCGTCTCAAGGCGGGGTGGGGAATTGCACAGTGGCCACTGCTGCTACCCACCACCCCGCACTACCGCCACTCCACATCCAGCTGTGCACCACCCCCTCCCTGCCACTCTGTATCTGGCCCTGCTCCACGTCCCCACCACTCCATACCACCGCCATGGCAGATGCGCAGCGGCAGTAGCGTGGGGTGGTGGGTGGCAGCAGGGGCCACTGTATGCAAGCTTCCCCTCCCGCTCCTGGCAGGTGGCAGCATGGGGTGGTGGGTGGCTGCCTGCCCTGCCCATCCTTCTTGATAGGCACTCTTGACACAGCACTGGCTAGAGCCATACCCACCAAGAGCATTACAGACGCACAGACAGACAGACTAAGCCCTTTAAATATAAGAGACAGTGAGTTATATAAACACGTTATATCTCACCATATATCCATACGTGCATGTGTGTGCCTGCACACGCACAGTATTTGTCTTTTTTGGTACTCTGGTTGTGGTAATCCGGCTTTTAATAATTTGTCTTTGCTGTGGTCTGAGCAGGTGGTCTTGGTCTGGACTGCAAAACAAAGACCTGCTTCCACAGCTGCTTCACTGTACATTTTCTTTTAGAATATCTATATACATAACTGTGCATTTCTTGTTCTAATTGCACGGTTACTTTAAAAAGTATGTCAGAAATCAACACATGAATTAAAAAAACAACTCTAGAAGGTAAAACTGTAGCAAATTAAAGCAAAATAAAATCAATTCCCATTTTAGTCAGCGACAGAAACTTTCCAGTTCTTGAACAAGCATCTGCCTTCCTTTTGCACTCACCGGGCCCTTCGTATATCCGCAGTACTAAAAGGAAGAAAACGGCTGAGCACTGGTGGTATTTAAATTGGGAAACCCATGATATTTGGGTTTTGTTTCTGGGAGGGGGGGAATACTAGAATAAATGAGGCTTGAGTGGGGGGTACTCTATACACATTACATACTACTTCACGAACAGGTGTGGACTATTATTTATGTTTTAAAAATCATAGTACTTCACTGTACTCACGAGAGGGCTGTTCCCCACCACTGCCACACAGCGTCCCCCCCAGCCCGCACGCGGGCGCTCTTGCAGCGCAGCTACACCCCGCCACTCCTGCAGGGGGTGCTGCCCCCCCCCGGTCCCCCCCCATCCGGTAGAGCCGGGCGGGGCCACGCTCTGTCGGCCGCGGCCCGTCGTCTCTGCGTTCCTTCGTCCGCCGGGCGCGCCGGTTGCTAAGCGAAGCGCGGCGGCGGTTGGGTTTCAAACACTGGAGGCGGTGACGGGCGCGGGCCACCGGCCCCGGGGCAGCGGGGGGGGCCCCCCGGGAGCCGCCATGGGGCTCCGCTCCGACCAGCTCCTCGTCGTTGTCTCTATCCTGGAAGGTAACGCGCCGGATCCTCCCCGCTTGAAACCGGGATTTTGGTCATTGGCCGATTGCGCTGGGAAGGAGCCGCTCTCTGTTCACAAGGGGCTGGGAATATATATTTTTTTTTAAACGCGTTGTGTTTGGCCACGACTGAGGAAAGCTTCTCTCTCAACCCCCTGTTTCAGTGGCAGGGCTATCTTGCAATTAAATACAGTTAAAAAGGGGAGCTGGAAAGAGGGAGAGTATAAATAACTATTTTCCCTGTATTAGCAAGAATGAAAAGCAAAATTCAGTGCACCGACAAGGAAAGAGCACTCTCACAACAAAGGCAACAGGGGTCTTTGGGTAGATGCGATATCTTTTATTAGACCAACTAAATAGTTGGGGAAATTGGTCTTTGCAAGCTTTCAAGTGCAAATGCCCATCCTCGGGCAGAGGGAGAGTCTGCTGTTGTTTTGTGTTTGTCACTTGAAAGCTATTACTGAATTGTGCAATCCTGGCCCTATATGCATAGGTGGAGGGAGAAAATATTATTTGGGGGAGTGGAACGTGTGCGCGCATGCACACACACACCCCTTGCAGGTAAGTCTGTCCTGGGGAAGGGGGCAGATTGAGGCCTCTGCGGTGAGGCAGGGTGCGGGACAGGCTGGGGTGAATGGGGTCCTGGGGCGGGTTGTGGGAGGCTCAGAGCCCAGGCGACTCATCGAGGGGGGGCAGGGTCTCCTGCTGCTGTATGCACCCTGGCAGAGGCCCAGGGGGCACATGCACCCCCAGATGTGTGCATGGGGTGGAGGTGGGCTGTGCTTTCTGCTGCCCAGGAGTGGCATGACACCATGTGTCTGCCACGCGCAGGGCACAGAATCTAGCAGCAGGGTGCACATGGCATCACTTGGCTCTTAAGGCCGCAGCAGTGGGGCACAGAGCCCAGCCACAGTGGCAGCCCACCACACAGATCGGGGGGCACATGCCACCCTTTGCCTTCCCTCAGATGCACGCAGTGGCCGTAGCCCCCGCCCACCTGGACAGGCTGCCTGGGCTCTGAGCATCCTATGACTCAGCCTTGGGCCCCGTTCACCCCAGCCCCTGTTCCTGCCTCTGCCCACTCCCTTCTGCATTGTGGGGGTCTCGATCTGGCCCCTCTCATGCTCCTTCGCAGAGTACACGGACACTTGCCTGTCTGCCATGCTGGGCAGTAATCCACGCGTCAGGGCTGCAGTCCTGACTGGCTGCGATCCGAGCTGTGCCTGAGTGTACATGCCCCTATTCCCCCCTTGCTTCTCTCCCCTGCACCTGCTGCAGCCTGGGGTCTGCAGCCCTAACTGTTGCCCTGTGTTTGGGTGGGGCTAAGCCTCGTTAGCCCCAGCCTTCCGCCACCTATGCCTATACATATATTTTATATTAACTACTACAGTACATATAAATATAAGGACGCTAAGGCTAAATACATTGTGATGCTGCTTGTTGTTGCTAATTGTTTTTTACAAGCTTTTGGGCACAAACACCCTTCTTCAGGCAGAGGGAGAGTCTGCTGGTGTTTGTGCGCTCTCGACTGGAAGCCAAGGTGCAAAATTCAGGTCTGTGAAAATGCAAATGCACAGCAGTGAGGATCAGAGGCCATGGGAGACAATGGGTGTGAGATAGGTACGTGGGAGTGGGAATAGGGGAATGCTGACCTGGTAAGAGAATGTAGCTGGTAATATGCAGAGAGATTACATGGGTTTATTGAATGTCAGGCAGGTTATGATGTGCCATAAATCCAATATCTATATTTAGTCCATGATTTTTTTGTATCTGGTAGATTAATCACATTTACCTGAAGAACTTTGTCTGCCTATGTCCTTAGACCAACATGGCTACAACCAACACCTCCTTCAGCCTCATGCATTCTGAAAGAACTATAGAGAGTATAGTTAAAATATGTATTTTCGCTGGCATGCTGAAAATCTATCAAAGACAAAAATACCCAATTACCTGTGGGTGCACTCCTTTCACAAGACAAACATTCTCCAATCTCTCAATTCTAACCCCCAAAAGGAATGTACAAAACTTTTTGTAGATGAGCCTATGAACTTCCCTTCATAAATCTACTAGATACAAAAAATCATGGACTAAATATAGACATTGAATGTATACTACATTATAACTTGCCTGCCATCCAATAACCCCCAGGTAACTTGTCTGTGTTTTACTAGCTACATTCTCTCACCAGGTCGGCAATCAATCTTTCC